TGAGAGGGTCTTCATGAGAGGGTCTTCATGAGAGAGTCTTCATGAGAGGGTCTTCATGAGAGGGTCTTCATGAGAGGGTCTTCATGAGAGGGTCTTCATGAGAGGGTCTTCATGAGAGAGTCTTCATGAGAGGGTCTTCATGAGAGGGTCTTCATGAGAGGGTCTTCATGAGAGGGGCTTCATGAGAGAGGTCTATGAGAGGGTCTTCATGAGAGAGTTTCATTTAGAGAGTCTTCATGAGAGGGTCTTCATGAGGTCTTCATGGGGAGGGGTCTTCATGAGAAGGTCTTCATGAGAGGGTCTTCATGAGAGGGTCTTCAAGAGAGGGTCTTCATGAGAGGGTCTTCATGAGAGGGTCTTCATGAGAGGGTCTTCATGAGAGGGTCTTCATGAGAGGGTCTTCATGAGAGAGTCTTCATGAGAGGGTCTTCATGGAGGGTCTTCATGAGGGGTCTTTTATGAGAGGGTCTTTATGAGAAGGTCTTCATGAGAGGGTCTTCATGAGAGGGTCTTCATGAGAGCGTCTTCTTGAGAAGGTCTTCATGAGAGGGTCTTCATGAGAAGGTCTTCATGAAAGGGTCTTCATGAGAAGGTCTTCATGAGAGGGTCTTCATGAGAGAGTCTTCATGAGAAGGTGTTCATGAGAGGGTCTTCATGAGAGGGTCTTCATGAGAGGGTCTTCATGAGAGAGTCTTCATGAGAGGGTCTTCATGAGAGGGTCTTCATGGGAGGGTCTTCATGAGAGAGTCTTCATGAGAAGGTCTTCATGAGAGGGTCTTCATGAGAGGGTCTTCATGAGAGGGTCTTCATGAGAGGGTCTTCATGAGAGGGTCTTCATGAGAGAGTCTTCATGAGAGAGTCTTCATGAGAGAGTCTTCATGAGAGAGTCTTCATGAGAGAGTCTTCATGAGAGAGTCTTCATGAGAGAGTCTTCATGAGAGGGTCTTCATGAGAGAGTCTTCATGAGAGAGTCTTCATGAGAGAGTCTTCATGGGGGAGTCTTCATGAAAAGAGTCTTCATGAGAGAGTCTTCTTTAGAGAGTCTTCATGAGAGAGTCTTCATGAGAGAGTCTTCATGAGAGAGTCTTCATGAGAGAGTCTTCTTTAGAGAAATCTTCATGAGAGAGTCTTCATGAGAGAGTCTTCATGAGAGGGTCTTCATGAGAGAGTCTTCATGAGAGAGTCTTCATGAGAGAGTCTTCCTGAGGCTATTCTTTAGGTTCTTCCTGAGAGAACGATAAAGAAAGTGAAATTTCTAGATTTTGAAATAGCAAGCTGTAAGAGAAGAAAAGAGCGAGAAAAAGAAAGAGTGAGATGGAAAGAGATTAGAGGCACATAGATGGAGGTAAAGAGAAAGAGAGAGAGAGAGAGAGAGAGAGAGAGAGAGAGAGAGAGAGAGAGAGAGAGTTGAAAGGAGAGCGCTGTAGTAACTTGCCTCACCCTCCCTTGATGCTGAAAAAAGGCTCTTGATCCTAGGAAATGGAGATATGCTACGCCTGTCCCTTCGTTTTGTCCCAATCAAATTTAAGTATCTTTCACTTTGTGATCAAGTCTCATCTAGGGTTCCCTCTAGCATTACGAGTATATGTAATAATTGAATCATTTGTTTTCACAAGAGCATTTTAGAATATAAATATATCTTTGTATTATACAAATTTTGATTCATTTATAATTACTATCCTACTGTACAACTATGATATACTCCTTAGTATTAAGTAGACTGTAAGCCAATAATGTTAAGTTGGCCCATAATACCTAGGCCTAACAGAGGCTCTCTTTGCATTGCAACCCAGTATTGTAAATACAAAATCTCAATGTACTGTTTGCAAAGATATAAAATAAATAAAACAAAAAATAAATAAAAATTAGGCTTCTTAACCCGTCTTCCCCGCTTAGGCCTCCGAGGCCGGCCTAGTTGAAAAATTTTTTTTGTTTATTCTTAGTTTTTTATTCGTTTTGTATTTCTGTGTGTATAGTATACTCCAGCAGTGGTGTATGCTAGGTGATGTGAGGCTTGTCTGTGTGTATACTGTACTTCCACTAAAGTAACTACCAGTTCCTAGGAAGAAACTCCTACTGTCACCACTACTTCTACTACTACTACTACTACTACTACTTTACTACTACTCCTACTACTATACTACTACTACTACTACTACTACTTCAAGCAACTCACTAACAAGCTCAGACAACCTTGTTAAGTAATTGTTGTCAGTGATATTATTCGTGTTTAAAGCCTCGTCTGGTGTGCTGATTTCCACCCGCTGTCAGTTTAAAAAAAATCACACGAAATTCCTATTATGATACAGAACAATTACATTACATTCTTCACAATATTACATCCTTGTTCAGTGTTTCACTTTTCGGCTGTTTGTTCAAAAGTATTATTTATATATGTAATACCAAGAGTCTACTACTGATACTAGGAGGTATGACGCATATATGTAAGTAGACTTCTCACATGTAAGTAGACTTCTCACATGTAAGTAGACTTCTCACATGTAAGTAGACTTCTCACATGTAAGTAGACTTCTCACATGTAAGTAGACTTCTCACATGTAAGTAGACTTCTCACATGTAAGTAGACTTCTCACATGTAAGTAGACTTCTCACATGTAAGTAGACTTCTCACATGTAAGTAGACTTCTCACATGTAAGTAGACTTCTCACATGTAAGTAGACTTCTCGCATGTAAGTAGACTTCTCACATGTTTACCTGGACCTGGAGAGAGTTCCGGGGGTCAACGCCCCCGCGGCCCGGTCTGAGACCAGGCCTCCTGGTGGATCAGAGCCTGATCAACCAGGCTGTTGCTGCTGGCTGCACGCAAACCAACATACGAGCCACAGCCCGGCTGATCCGGAACTGACTTTAGGTGCTTGTCCAGTGCCAGCTTGAAGACTGCCAGGGGTCTGTTGGTAATCCCCCTTATGTGTGCTGGGAGGCAATTGAACAGTCTCGGGCCCCTGACACTTATTGTATGGTCTCTTAACGTGCTAGTGACACCCCTGCTTTTCATTGGGGGGATGGTGCATCGTCTGCCAAGTCTTTTGCTTTCGTAGTGGGTGATTTTCGTGTGCAAGTTCGGTACTAGTCCCTCTAGGATTTTCCAGGTGTATATAATCATGTATCTCTCCCTCCTGCGTTCCAGGGAATACAGGTTTAGGAACCTCAAGCGCTCCCAATAATTGAGGTGTTTTATCTCCGTTATGCGCGCCGTGAAAGTTCTCTGTACATTTTCTAGGTCGGCAATTTCACCTGCCTTGAAAGGTGCTGTTAGTGTGCAGCAATATTCCAGCCTAGATAGAACAATTGACCTGAAGAGTGTCATCATGGGCTTGGCCTCCCTAGTTTTGAAGGTTCTCATTATCCATCCTGTCATTTTTCTAGCAGATGCGATTGATACAATGTTATGGTCCTTGAAGGTGAGATCCTCCGACATGATCACTCCCAGGTCTTTGACGTTGGTGTTTCGCTCTATTTTGTGGCCAGAATTTGTTTTGTACTCTGATGAAGATTTAATTTCCTCATGTTTACCATATCTGAGTAATTGAAATTTCTCATCGTTGAACTTCATATTGTTTTCTGCAGCCCACTGAAAGATTTGGTTGATGTCTGCCTGGAGCTTTGCAGTGTCTGCAATGGAAGACACTGTCATGCAGATTCGGGTGTCATCTGCAAAGGAAGACACGGTGCTGTGGCTGACATCCTTGTCTATGTCGGATATAAGGATGAGGAACAAGATGGGAGCGAGTACTGTGCCTTGTGGAACAGAGCTTTTCACCGTAGCTGCCTCGGACTTTACTCTGTTGACGACTACTCTCTGTGTTCTGTTAGTGAGGAAATTATAGATCCATCGACCGACTTTTCCTGTTATTTCCTTTAGCACGCATTTTGTGCGCTATTACGCCATGGTCACACTTGTCGAAGGCTTTTGCAAAGTCTGTATATATTACATCTGCATTCTTTTTGTCTTCTAGTGCATTTAGGACCTTGTCGTAGTGGTCCAATAGTTGAGACAGACAGGAGCGACCTGTTCTAAACCCATGTTGCCCTGGGTTGTGTAACTGATGGGTTTCTAGATGCGTGGTGATCTTGCTTCTTAGGACCCTTTCAAAGATTTTTATGATATGGGATGTTAGTGCTATTGGTCTGTAGTTCTTTGCTGTTGCTTTACTGCCCCCTTTGTGGAGTGGGGCTATGTCTGTTGTTTTTAGTAACTGTGGGACGACCCCCGTGTCCATGCTCCCTCTCCATAGGATGGAAAAGGCTCGTGATAGGGGCTTCTTGCAGTTCTTGATGAACACAGAGTTCCATGAGTCTGGCCCTGGGGCAGAGTGCATGGGCATGTCATTTATCGCCTGTTCGAAGTCATTTGGCGTCAGGATAACATCGGATAGGCTTGTGTTAATCAAATTTTGTGGCTCTCTTTACTCTGTTGACGACTACTCTCTGTGTTCTGTTAGTGAGGAAATTATAGATCCATCGACCGACTTTTCCTGTTATTCCTTTAGCACGCATTTTGTGCGCTATTACGCCATGGTCACACTTGTCGAAGGCTTTTGCAAAGTCTGTATATATTACATCTGCATTCTGTAGACTTCTCGCATGTAAGTAGACTTCTCGCATGTAAGTAGACTTCTCACATGTGATAAAGAGGTGGAAACATTATGGTTCTTATGAGATTTATCCCAAAACAGAGACGATTATTTAGGAACAGTGTCACCATAACTACCTTCTACTCTCAGCTACGACGAAGCAATTCAGAAAAACTTCGCGTGAAAGACAGAACTCAGTGATAGCGAGCGTGCGTGTGTGTGTGTGTGTGTGTGTGTGTGTGTGTGTGTGTGTGTGTGTGTGTGTGTGTGTTGTTAAAATTTTAAACTACATGCAAGGAATCGTCTATATATAATTTGACATAAAAAAACAGAAGACAAACTTAAATGAACCCAGATCAACACCTTCACACTGATTACATGTTAATGTTACCATTACTCCGCAGGTGTGAGTGTGGGTGACCCCAGGCGACGCTGACGAGGGAATATAACGAGGGGGTGATCTAACCAGGGTGACCTGACAAGGGTGACCTAACGAGGGTGACCCTAACATGACGGACCAGGGTGAGTTACGCGTTGAGTCACAGCTTTATCATTTCTGTTTGTGTCCCTCCCTCCTTTCATCAGTCTTTTGTTCGCGGGAGTGTCTGTCTGCCTATCTCTGTCTGCCTATCTCTGTCTGCCTATCTCTGTCTGCCTATCTCTGTCTGTCTATCTCTGTCTGCCTATCTCTGTCTGCCTATCTCTGTCTGCCTATCTCTGTCTGCCTATCTGTGTCTGCCTATCTGTCTGCCTGTCTCTATCTACCTGTCTGTGTAAACTTAAGTATATCTGTAATTTTGTCCCCCTATTCGTCTCTGTGTATATCTGATTTTTTTGTCTGCTCTTCTTTTATCATCAGATCAACTCACGCCAGTTTTCTGTAACTCATAAGATGAAAATCAGGAACTTTGTATTGTAAATAAATCGCACCTTATACCCGCTTTATGATATATATATATAATATATATATATATATATATATATATATATATATATATATATATATATATATATATATATATATATATATATATATACATATATATATATATATATATATATATATATATATATATTATATATATATATATATATATATATATTATATATATATATATATATATATATATATATATATATTCAACAAGTCGGCCGTCTCCCACCGAGGCGGGGTGACCCAAAAAAGAAAGAAAATCCCCAAAAAGAAAATACTTTCATCATCATTCAACACTTTCACCACACTCACACATTATCACTATTTTTGCAGAGGTGCTCAGAATACAACAGTTTAGAAGCATGTAAGTATAAAGATACACAACATATCCCTCCAAACTGCCAATATCCCAAACCCCTCCTTTAAAGTGCAGGCATTGTACTTCCCATTTCCAGGACTCAAGTCCGACTATATGAAAATAACCCGGTTTCCCTGAATCCCTTCACTAAATATTACCCTGCTCACACTCCAACAGATCGTCACGGTCCCAAGTACCATTCGTCTCCATTCACTCCTATCTAACACGCTCATGCACGCTTGCTGGAAGTCCAAGCCCCTTGCCCAGAAAACCTCCTTTACCCCCTCTCTCCAACCCTTTCGAGGACGACCCCTACCCCGCCTTCCTTCCCCTATAGATTTATATGCTTTCCATGTCATTCTACTGTGATCCATTCTCTCAAAATGACCAAACCACCTCAACAACCCCTTCTTCTGCCCTCTAACTAATACTTTTATTAACTCCACACCTTTTCCTAATTTCCACACTCCGAATTTTCTGCATAATATTTACACCACACATTGCCCTTAAACAGGACATCTCCACTGCCTCCAACCGTCTCCTCGCTGCTGCATTTACCACCCAAGCTTCACACCCATATAAGAGTGTTGGGTACTACTATACTTTCATACATTCCCTTCTTTGCCTCTATAGATAACGTTTTTTGACTCCACATATACCTCAACGCACCACTCACCTTTTTTCCCTCATCAATTCTATGATTAATCTCATCCTTCATAAATCCATCCGCCGACACGTCAACTCCAAGTATCTGAAACATTCACTTCTTACATACTCCTCCTCCCCAATTTGATATCCAATGTTTCTTTATCTAAATCATTTGATATTATATATATATATATATATATATATATATATATATATTATATATATATATATATATATATATATATATATATATATATATATATATATATATATATATACATATGTGTGTGTTGTGTGTGTGTGAGAGAGAGAATCCTCTTACAAATAGGCTAGTATACAGTAACCATTCAGAGAGGTACTGCCATACTATCATAGGGAGGCCTGGTCACAGACTGGTCCACGGGGGCGTTGACCCCCGGAACTCTCTCCAGGAATGGATGTAGGTAGAATCACCAACACATGCTGACTAGCAGACTGAAATCATCTAGAGAGGTACTACCATCCTGCCACATGAATGTGAATCCACCAATACTTGTAGGATGGCAGACTGTAACCATCTACTCTGCTGTCTGCCAGCCTACTAGACCTGAAGTAGACTAATAGACAGGAACCATCCACGGAGGCACTACCGTCCTGTCAAGAGAGAGTGAATCAAAAGCCTGCTAAAACGTTTTAGTCTGTCACGTTAGTTGGCCTCCTAAACGTTCCACTGTCAAGTTTATTGGCCCTTTTTTTGTCTCGTGAACATGCAACATAACAGGTAAATCCCTCAAACTTCTACTTTCATTCATGATGCACTTACCTCTACTCTCCCGTGCGTCCAATTCTAAGCAGAGAGACAACCTCCCTGGAAGTAAATATGAAAAAAACTCCTCGATAATGATCCAGGGCAGACGAAAGCCTCGTCTAAATTTGTGAAGCATGTCATTAGTGCTAATATTCGCCAGTGACTCACAATCAAAGAGGAAAAGCTTGCTTTGTGCTGAGTACCAACAATGGTTCTGCAATGAGTGGCGTTCCGTGCAATATCGGCGTTCATAAAGTCATCAAACGTCATTGGCTTCCACTGCAACAATGTGGAACCACGGCTGTAAGAGCGAGCAATTAACGTTTGCAAAATCATACAGCAGAAAATGGAGGAGAAAAAAACACAGTTTGTTATTGCTTTGTAGGCCACTCTGTCGTCCTCTCTCAATGTGTCATTGTCTTCAAACTGTAGTTGTCGTTTCAGACTGTTGTCTCATCAGACATAAATTTTACTATTGTTCGTGATACTGTGGTTGGTATTGAGAGGCTAAGATCTTACTTCCGATAGCATTTGTACAGTAACAAGAAGTACTGTGATACAGATAAAGAGAAGAGAGGTTAGCGTAAGGGAACAGGAGGGTTAGATATTACATAAGATGTGATAAGATTGTTCACCTAGCAGAAAGTAGGTACCTGGGTGCTAGTTACCTTATGTTACGCAGTGACATGCAGAAAAAAATATTTTACATAACATAGTTCCGAGAGTACTCTGACAGCGAACGCGTCAGGTCTGTACCAAGATACCCTTGTGTTGGAAACATAAACACATATGCAGTTTAATGTGATCCTGCCAAGCTACCCAAGATTTTAGACTCTATAACCCCACCCGGTAGATCATCAGATGCAGCATTCTCCAGCTGACCTCAACATTCTGAACCTGACTATAAATACTCACGTACCTTCCACCCCAGGTAGATCTGTTTGTGACTTGAAAAAGCCCACTGTGTTGGCGATACGTTGTCAATAAAGGATCACATTAAACTGCATGTGTTTATGTTTCCATTGTGTCGGTATTTTATACCATTTATTTTCATACCCTTGTGTTACAGTGTCTGACAGAGTGGACATTAAAATGGTATAAAATACCGACAGGTTGTAGGTGTCTTACCTACAACCTGTCGGTAATTTATACCATTTTAATGTCCACTCTGTCAGACACTGCAACACAAGGGTATCTTGGTACAGACCTGAAATCAACTTGGACAACTTCTACTAGTGAGAATGGCTGGATTTGAGAGGGACCTGACCTCCCAACGACTACATTCTTACCTCTACTAGTGACCTACATCTCACCTCCTGGCGGTATATAATGCTCAATCCTGTCACTTTAACTCCATATTGTTTCAGACTATGGAACAATACTCTTCTCCAGACTGAGGGACTGACCACCTCAAAACTTCAAGGGTGATGGACTGATTACATCGTCTTCAAGTCTCTTCTGCTTCTATCAACTTTTCTGTACTCGACTGAAGAAGCTTACTGTGTAGGCGAAACGTTTCGAAATAAAGATACCTAACTGTTGCATATGTGTCTTACCTACAACAAGCATATATATACACACCCCTCTGGGTTTTTTTCTATTTTCTTTCTAGTTCTTATTCTTTTTTATTTCCTCTTATCTCCATGGGGAAGTGGAACAGAATTCTTCCTCTGTAAGCCATGCGTGTTGTAAGAGGCGACTAAAATGCCGGGAGCAAGGGGCTAGTAACCCCTTCTCCTGTATAAATTACTAAATTTAAAAAAAGAAACTTTTGTTTTTCTTCTCGGGCCACCCTGCCTCGGTGGGATGCGGCTGGTTTATTGAAAGAAAAGGAATATATATATATATATATATATATATATATATATATATATATATATATATATATATATATATATGTGTGTGTGTGTGTGTGTGTGTGTGTGTGTGTGTGTGTGTGTGTGTGTGTGTGTATGTGTATGTGTGTGTGTGTGTGTGTGTGTGTGTGTGTGTGTGTGTGTGTGTGTGTGTGTGTGTGTGTGTGTATGTGTTGTGTGTGTGTGTGTGTGTGTGTGTGTGTGTGTGTGTGTGTGTGTGTGTGTGTATGTGTATGTGTGTGTGTGTGTGTGTGTGTGTGTGTGTGTGTGTGTGTGTGTGTGTGTGTGTGTGTGTGTGTGTGTGTGTGTGTATGTGTGTGTGTGTGTGTGTGTGTGTGTGTGTATGTGTATGTGTGTGTGTGTGTGTGTGTGTGTGTGTGTGTGTGTGTGTGTGTGTGTGTGTATGTGTGTGTGTGTGTGTGTGTGTGTGCGTATTGAATGAATGTATATACTGGGCTTTTATTAACATTTATAGGCAATATACACACATTGTAGACATTTAATTATACTTACATTGTAGCTTTTACGCGTGTCGGCTACACGAGTCATTAAGGCTGTAATTCACCTGACCAAACTCAATTAAGGATAGTTTAATTTCTGAAATAGAGATTAAAGCAAACACTGGGGTATATATACCCAGAGATATACACCGCTCTCTGTTTATTCTATGCTAGTCTTACATGGCATGTCAACACGTAATTAATGAACATTCAAGTGGTGATATTAAGCTGTTTTTTATATATTATTAATTAAATCTCTGATGTTATTCACTATTATTTATGACTTTACAACAGAGACACTTAATTAAGCTTCATTCATATTATATTCAATGTTATATTCAATGTTATATTCAATGTTATATTCAATGTTATATTCTATATTATATTCCATGTAATATTCAGCAAAGATGTTTGAGGAAACAAATGATTTTTGTCATTTGCCAACTGAGATGAGCTGTTACTCGTGTCGAGAATAGTACCAGAGTCAGAACAGCTGTAATAAAATAGTACCAGAGTTCAGAACAGCTGTAATAAAATAGTACCAGAGTTCAGAACAGCTGTAATAAAATAGTACCAGAGTTCAGAACAACTGTAATAAAATAGTACCAGAGTTCAGAACAGCTGTAATAAAATAGTACCAGAGTTCAGAACAACTGTAATAAAATAGTACCAGAGTTCAGAACAGCTGTAATAAAATAATACCAGAGTTCAGAACAACTGTAATAAAATAGTACCAGAGTTCAGAACAGCTGTAATAAAATATACCAGAGTTCAGAACACTGTAATAAAATAGTACCAGAGTTCAGAACAACTGTAATAAAATAGTACCGGAGTTCAGAACAGCTGTAATAAAATAATACCAGAGTTCAGAACAACTGTAATAAAATAGTACCAGAGTTCAGAACAGCTGTAATAAAATAGTACCAGAGTTCAGAACAGCTGTAATAAAATAGTACCAGAGTTCAGAACAGCTGTAATAAAATAGTACCAGAGTTCAGAACACTGTAATAAAATAGTACCAGAGTTCAGAACAACTGTAATAAAATAGTACCAGAGTTCAGAACAGCTGTAATAAAATAGTACCAGAGTTCAGAACAACTGTAATAAAATAGTACCAGAGTTCAGAACAGCTGTAATAAAATAGTACCAGAGTTCAGAACAGCTGTAATAAAATAGTACCAGAGTTCAGAACAACTGTAATAAAATAATACCAGAGTTCAGAACAGCTGTAATAAAATAGTACCAGAGTTCAGAACAACTGTAATAAAATAGTACCAGAGTTCAGAACAGCTGTAATAAAATAGTACCAGAGTTCAGAACAGCTGTAATAAAATAATACCAGAGTTCAGAACAACTGTAATAATATACTTCCGTTGCTTCAGTCTAGATAAGTGAGACACTAGTGCAATACTTGGATATTTTATGTGGAAACGCTTCACCAAGCAGCGGCTTTATTAGTTCCATATAGATAAAACGGAGGGAAATTGAAGGAGTTTGAAGTATGTAAAGTAAAAGGACACAAGTGCAACTAATGTGACATTTATTGTGGCAACGTTTCGCTCTCCAGGAGCTTTATCAAGCCATTACAAACAATAAAGCTCCTGGAGAGCGAAACGTTGCCACAATAAATGTCACATTAGTTGCACTTGTGTCCTTTTACTTTACATATTGTCGGTAATTCTACCAACTTTATTACGAGTTTGAAGTAATCAGTCCCTCAGCCAACTGTATTGTGTTAGGTTTATAAAGTTGCTCTTTGGTGTAAAGTTTTCATAATAAAGGAACCCAAGTGTTGCATAAATGTCTCATTTATCTATATGTTAGTTTTCTTAACTATTTATATTATTAGTCTACTTGGTTTTCCCTAGTATGAACAACCTCTATACGACACACACTCGACCAGATGAGGAAATAGGACAAACTTCAATTAGCAATGTCTTCAGTATATGTTTGGTTAAATGTTAATCTGTTTTCAGGGCTTCGAGTGGAAAGTATTTGTAAGGTGGAAAATATTTGTAAGGTGGAAAATATTTGTATGATAAAACCCAACATTTATTTAACGAAAACAGGTTTTTGTCTTATAACCGGGTTTTAGCATTTTTTTCTTTAGTTAGTTCAACAGAATAATAGCTAAAAGATTTGAGGAACTGAAATTTGGATGTGATTTTGTATATGTTCTTAGCTATTTAATTATTATTTTCGTGAACGCTAGATACATGCGGGAGAATTTACTAGTCTCAGTACTAATCTAATTTTCCTCTCAAATTTCAGAATAGTGGTGATTTTGCTGCACTAAGCTTGACGGTGACTGCTGATCGATAGGAAGACCACGTCCAGTTGGCCGTGAATCTCACTAACCTGTCAGGAAATACGACCATATCGTTATCCAGGAATTCTGTAGTTTCCTCAGACACATAACTAAGTGACAGACTGTGTTAAGCATGAGTTAATCTCTTCCGACTGACCTGAAGAATTCTCAAGATGGCGATGCTCAAGTTGAATGTGAACGAGACTCTGCCAGTCTTCGTCGAGTCTGACCTCAATGTTTCGGGACTCGAAGACGAAGCACTATTCTCCGACTATGATGAGTGGAACTTTGACATTACGATGCCCATCTGGGAAGTGGTGTTGACGGTGGTGTCTCTGAGTGTGATCATCATCTTCACCATCGTCGGCAACGTACTCGTCATCCTCTCTGTCTTCACGTATCGTCCGCTGAGAATAGTACAGAACTTCTTCATCGTGTCCTTGGCTGTGGCTGACTTGACAGTGGCAGTGTTTGTGCTGCCATTCAATGTCGCCTACAGCATCATCGGCAAGTGGATATTCGGGATGTACCTGTGCGAGATGTGGCTAACTTGCGATATCATGTGCTGCACAGCATCCATCCTTAACCTGTGCGCCATCGCCCTGGACCGCTACTGGGCCATCACAGACCCTATTAATTACGCCCAGAAACGCACGCTGAAGCGCGTGCTGATCATGATTGCGCTGGTGTGGACCATCAGTGTAATCATCTGTCTACCGCCACTCTTCGGCTGGAACGACTGGCCGGAAAACTTCACTAAGGAGACGCCGTGCATACTGACGCAGGAGAGAGGTTTCGTTATATATTCCTCATCCGGATCCTTCTTCTGTCCTCTGTTAATCATGACGATGGTTTATATTAAAATCTTCACGGCCACTCGGAGGAGGCTACGCGAACGAGCTAAAGCCTCCAGATTAAACCAGATTCCGAATACTGGGAAGACCAGAGTGGCCCGGGAAGAAGACTCGGCAGTAAGCGAGAACGGCCAAAATGGATATAACGACAGTTGTAAGAAGAAATTAGTCCAAAAGAAACGACGAAAGAAGAGGAAGTCGGTGACGGCACAAGCGACAGCAACCACAACCACAACATCTCTCATTCCTCCCCCCATAGCCGAGAGCTCCATCACTGAGAATGATATCAGCAACCCCAAAGACGAATGCTCCCCGACAGATGAGAAGAGGAGTACGGACGTTGTAATCAAAGTTAACCCAAAGAGTGGCAGCCAAATCCACCAGTTTATCGAGGAGAAACAAAAGATATCATTGTCGAAAGAACGTCGCGCTGCGCGAACACTAGGCATCATCATGGGGTCCTTCGTGGTGTGCTGGCTTCCCTTCTTCCTCATGTATGTCATTCTTCCCTTCTGTCCCTCGTGTCCCGAACCCAACGGTAAAGTGACCAACTTTATTGTCTGGCTAGGATATATAAATTCTTCTCTCAACCCCGTCATATACACTATTTTCAACTTGGATTTCCGAAGAGCTTTCGCAAGAATCCTGAGATGTCCCAACGCTGCCACGATATAATACACCATAGTATTTCCCTTCTTATATTGCATCATCTTCATCCTGGACTTCCACAAATAGTGCTACAACATAGCGTGCAGAAAAGCTGTCGAAACCTTCAAGCACCTCGGCATATGAACTTCGCTCACGCTGCGTAGCAGTGTTGAACACTGTCATGGTTTGTTGGAGGGCCTTAAACTACGCTATAAAATAAAAGCGTGATATTATATCAAAGATAATTTGTTTATACTTTACTGTATCTTCAGTGAAGAATATATTAACGTAGTACCGGTTTCAACATATTGTAGAAAACTCTTCATATCAATCACTGACACTGAAGTATTAAAATCAACAAGGTCACTGAAACTGATAAGACACTGGCTTGCTAACCGAGCATCCGGTGTGTCTGTGCAGTGTGAGAAAAAGTTAATCAGTCTGTATATACATATATGTATAATCTTGTGTAAATAGGGAATTTATTGTGAACAGTAAGAGGAGACAATTGTAAAAGTAGTAGGAGTTACTTTTCTAGAGTGTACTTGTTGGGAACATGACTCATATCTTAGTTTCCATCACATTCACTTACACGTGAAAAAAGTCAGGCCTGATGGGCCCTTCGCAAAACAAAAAAAAAATGCTCATTTTATGTGTTTCACCTCTGGAAAAAATCCAAATTACTGCTTCCCAGTATATATTTATTACTGTGATAATGGGAACAGTAATAATGAAAGGAACTATCTACATCGATGATATAGAGTGAATCTGGTTTATTTCTAACTGACACGACTGAGTTTATTTCCTTTTACGAAACAATTATACAAAGTGTGGGAAAATTTTATATAAAAAATAACCAATATATATATATATATATATATATATATATATATATATATATATATATATATATATATATATATATATATATATATATATATATATATATATATATATATAAACTTAAGGGATGAAGGTTCAGACGCTTGAGAGTAATTACAGTTCTGGAACTTAATCTACGTCTTAATCTTTGATATATTGTAATTTTCTTATTTCATGATGATAATTCATCATCAGAATATTGAAATGGTAAATTTTTCCTAACACAATGAAATCTTTTAGTTAGAGAAATACAGTCAAGAAATACTTGGCTTTGAACAACTATGGAACTTCAAGTTTAAGCAAAAGTCAGACTGAGCAAGTTTTAAACAATAATGTAAGCCACATAGGAAAATAAATACAATGAAACAAAAGCAAGCATACAATGATCACGTCTCAAAAATAAGCATACCAGAGCATTCGTTGCTTCATGTATGTTGCTTCATAAAACCCGAGGCAGCATTGTCGCCATGACAACAATAATGGAAGTTGAGCGATTAACAGAGTATCTTGACATGTGAGGTCATTCAGAGGGTTTGACCCAAAGTTAAATGTAATATAATGCGTCCTGACATCCCCCCTACCACTTTCCTCCTTCCATCTGATGATGATGATAATGATGATGATGATGATGATGATGAAATAAGAGAACTGCAACACGTCATGGAATATTAAACTGAGTTACATCTTCCTATTTACATCTCAACACACCTCTGTGTTTTCCACTTAAATCATCTATTGTTTCTATATTATTACTTTATATACACACACACACAGGGGCCAGGAGCTCGGACTCGACCCCCGCAACCTCAACTAGGTGAGTACAACACACACACACACCACATACATACATACATACATACATACATACATACATACATACAATAATATATATATATATATATATATATATATATATATATATATATATATATATATATATATATATATATATATAATACGTATATGTATGTTTGTGTGTGTGCTCAGTCGTATCTGTCAAAATACGCTTGTTTATATACTTTCAATTTTTTTTTTATATTTTAATATACTTTCAATTATACTATAAATTTATAAATAAAGTTGGAATGCCGTGCTATATATACAAATGTTGAAAAGATATGATGGCTGAGAGATAGAAATAATACACGGTAGTGTAGTGCTGCTGCTGCTGCTGCTGATGATGATGATGATGATGATAGCTGAACTTAGCATCTGCAAATGCTTAGAATATAACAGCTGGACTGTTGCTCTTGGCTTGTGGACCTGGCAGCGTGGACTGTTGCCAGGTCTTGTAGAGCAGTTAGTAAGGATAGAGGGGAAGGGGGATATTGGGGGGAGGGTGGGAGGGAACAAGGGATGGGAATAGAGTAGGGAGGGAGGGTTGGGGTGGGAGAGAAGTAAACTCAGTACCACACAAGCAGTAGTCAGTCATTCCTCCCAGTTTCCTGTACCCTCACCTTTTTCTTGTTGTGATTCCGTGAGAGAATTCATCTGGCTTATATGTATACTTGTGTGCTTATGCCAGACAAGCATACATACATATCGTGTGCTTGTGCCTCACAAGTATACATACATGTCGTGTGCTTGTGCCTCACAAGTATACATACATGTCGTGTGCTTGTGCCACACAAGTATACATACATATTGTGTGTTTGTGCCACAATACTGTGGCTGGAACAATTCATACATAAAAGAACGCACTTAAGAGAGGAATATTGACGTTTCGGTCTGTTCTGGTCCCTGCTGTGACTTGACATTAGTCCAGGACGGACCGAAACTCGTCATGAAGTTCCTATCCTAAGTGTGGGATTTTCTGGTGAAATTCGTTCTTGTGTATGTTCACGTATGCGTGACAAAATTTATGTGTACATGTATGCATACGTAATGTTGAATGAATGTTTCGTATGTTTACGTGTTTTTGTGTGGACTCACCTATGTTTTGTTTACTAGAGACTGAGTAATAGTTGCTGTATCTCTTCTGTTATCTGCTAACTATCGCTCTCCACCACCTCAGCGTAGGGATTTAGCAAACGTCTTTATGGCTTCTCTACGTCTTTACCTGTGTTGTGTGTCCCCTTGTCATCTTGGTTGTATATACTACCCCCTTCTTCCTCTCTTATTTTCATTATTTTGCACTTAACAGGATCATTTATAGTCGCTACCTTCCTGTTTTTGTCTGTAGTTTATGTCACTCATGAGTCCTCAGTCCTGTGTTTGTGGAATGTTTGCAAACAGCGATTTGAGGAGGGTAAGAGAGGGCTGGCACGGTGAGGAGCTCTCTTTCACAAGGCACTTTTCTTTCTCGTTCTCTTCTCCGACATCAAAGTGTGTATCGTAGCATTGTCTCAGCCCTTGTGTGTTGTACCTATGGACTTTCTCTGACTAGGTCATTTATGTATGTGAGAAACAGCAAGGGTCCCATCTCTGACCCTTGGGACACTCCATTT